CGGCCCCCGGCGCCTCTGGAGTCTGCTCTGCAGAGTTCCGCTCTCTGTGTCCCCGTTTTTGAATTTTCAGGACAAACCCGTCAGCTAGACAAAATCAGAGAGATCTAAGCGCCCAAAAAGGCACCAAGAAACCCCTCCTCGCCCCACAGACGGCAGGACGAGCGCTATTTAACAACGTGCCCACTGCAGCTCTGCAGCCCCAACACAGGCTGCCCAGAGACCAACCGGCGCCTTTCCAGCTGTCCCAAATACTAAAAGGCTCCCTGCTCCTGCGAGTATTTACCAATAGAACCATAGAACGCTTTGGGCTGGAAGGGGTCATCCAGCCTAACCCCCCTGCAGCGAGCAGGGACATCTTCAACTCGATGAGGTTGCTCAGAGCTCGGTCCAGCCTGGCCTTGAAGGTTTCCAGCAATGGGGCTTCCACTGCCTCTCTGGGCAACCCGTTCTAGCATTTCACCACCCTCACTGTAAAAAATTCCTTCCTTATCTCTAAATCTACCCTCCCTTAGTTTAAAGCCATTCAAGCCTACATGGATAGAACTGCTTATCAAAGTTCCAGCACTCTGGGAGATCTGCACTACACAGACTGAAAACATACGCGCTTGGGGACGAGAGTCTTACACACAAGTAAGGTCTATTTCTGGCAGGGTCGAGAAAATTTGTATCATCCCTTCCAAACGGGGACTCAATTCGTGCCACACAGAACTCTGAGGAACAAGTCATCCCACTCCCCAAACTCCTGCTAGGTTTTAACCATTTTAGTTCAGATATCAAAAGTCAGTTCATCTACACATGAAAATGGGATTCGGGAAGTAACAGGGAAAGGTGTCTTCTATTTTGGCTTAGCTAATCTTCTGGAAGACAACTGTGGACAGCCTCCACCTGCAAACCCAAAGCACAGAGGTGGTCCCTGAAGAACAACGTTTGCATTCAGTTACAGCCACCACTGTCCCAGCATGATTCAACTTAACAGATTTGTATTCTTTGTACAGAGCAATTTTTAGAACAGATTATCTCATTTCTTTTACATAATTTTAATAATGTGCAAATACCTTAGTATTACAGCTGTTTGAATGTAATTTTAGAAAAAAAAAAAAATCCCTAACAACAGTCCTTTCAAACTTCACCAACAAAGGCGTTCTTAGAGACAAAGAGCTGAATACAGCTCCAGAAGTCCTGAGAAACTGGAGCATTCAAGGGCACGGTTTGCCCGTAATACATCTCTTCCCCACCACTCTACTTTTGTGTTAGCTTCTTAGAGTAGTTCTTGGCAAATTGCTTTCGTACTTCTTCCTGTCTCTTTCGAAGTTTAAGCGTGTTGATCAGGTTTAAGGTTTTTTTCAGTTCATGCACAGGCTTGCTTACAAAGCCACAGTATTTCCTTTTTGGAACAAACTCCAGAGCCTTCTTCCAGTCCCCAGTATCTTTCAGGGTTAAGAGAATGTGCATCATCTGATCCAGCGTGAGGTTTTTGGCGCCACTGCTCCAAAGCAAGTACTTCTCCAATGGAAGGGCAGCAGTCTCCAGCCCCAGTCGCTTTGCCTGTGCCAGAGAGACTCCTGTTTTTATGCTCCTGTCAACCATTGACCCAACAATATAGATTTTATCGTGATCGAACGTTTTCATTACTTTGGGAGAATCAGCAGTCAGATAGATCAGCTTATCCTTTGGAAAGACTTCTGTGTAGCACTGGTCCGTCACAGTGATAAGCAATTTGCCCCACGCCTCTCTGTAATTCTTGACGAACTCCTTGAGATAGAGGCTGTCGTCTTTGAGGTTACAGAAGTGGATGTGGAACGGGTCCGCAGATCTTCGGTTGAAGCTTTCGCTTAACACTATCTGCCTCACCGTATTTGCGACTTCTCGGACAGACATGTCTTTTTCGTAAGACATGTCAAATACCAGGGGCTGGCCAAAGATCATAGACTGAGCAACCCTCCAGCTGTATGCTCTGTCCATGAAGTTGGCCCACACAAATACGAATGAATTCCTCTTGGTCTCGTCAGTTTTTGAAACTTGCTCTTGTGTTTCCAGCCTCCTTTCCCTTTTCTCATCCATCTTTCTTTTATCGTTTTTCTTGTAAAGTTCTTTAAGGTGCAAATATTTTAAATACTTCTTTTTGGCTGACTTGGAAGGACACTCCATAAAGGTTTTTAGCTGTTCTTCACTGATCTGTTCTGGAACTGATCTGCCAGCTAGTCTCCACATCTCCAAAATCTCACGTGCCGCGTCCAAAGTGGAAACCTCCTTACGCTCAGAGACCGTTTCACTGACTTCTTCGTGCAACCCAGACTTCATCACCTTCTTCCACTCATCTAAATCTAGTTTTTCTGAGGGATTGCATGTGTTGTCCTGCTTCAGACAAAGTGATAAACTCAGAGGTCTACTGAGAGGCAACAAATCCTTTTTCATCCCATGCTGTGCAACAAAGGGAAGGACAGCGCTTCTTACAATTTTTTTCAGAAGAATATTAGCAGACTGCATATTTAGACATGTGCTGTGTTCACACTTAACTGCAAAACATCAACAAGAGAGGAAAATAATTTGTCAGAAATCATGAAGAAAACGCGCAAAGATTTTCATCCTTAGTAAAATAACACTAACAGACAATAACTTCCTTTTTGGAGAATACTAGAAATTCCTGCTTCCACTACTGACAGAGCTATACACAACCTGTAAAAGATTGATAGAACGGATCATAAGAAACGTCAAATTATAACAAAGTAGCTTGAATTATATTTTCTAGTTGCTAGCAGTCTTTGTTATTAGAGTTTGTATTCTTGCATACATAATGATCTAACGCTGTAACTGTTGTACTAACCTCTGTTTCAAATATATGTAAGCTACCTATGAATGTAGTGGATGTATGTAGATATAAGTTATCACGTTAAGTCATTAGAACCATTGCACAACAAAATAAAATTAAAACCAAAGCAAGTCTTGGTCCTCAGTGCATAACTGAGATAGCTGTAGGATAAGAGACGCCTAAATAATTCTACTCTAGACAGCTCGGCCTTGGGATTGCAGATGCACCAAGCTACAGAGATAAAAAGGCACCAAGAGGGCAACAAGACCAGAGCAAAACAACTGGAAGGACACGGTATACGTGCTGTTGGAACTGAGTTTGTGCGGAAACAAAGGTCAACCAGCGGACACTGTGATGAAGAGTATGAGCCTTCCTCTGAAGGCCCCCGACGACCACCTGGAGGCGCCAGCAGACATGCGTGAAAGATATTAACATATGCTAGTTAGTTCTTGGAAAAGCCATGAATATGCTAAGCATTTCTCGGAAATATAATGAATACATATATTGTGATTGTATTTAACCTGAAATGAGAGGGTGTTTGGTGCACACGTTTGGAGGAGAGTTCCCCTGCGTGCCCGGCGCTGTAATAAAGGATACCTGCCCAACAGTATACATTATACTGTTAGGTTATTACCGGATCTTTGAATCACATTATTCCTTTTCTACTGTTTTCTAAATAAAAACAGCATTATGTGGTACTGCTGTGAAGAGACATGGTTAGCTCTGCTGCTTAAAACAGCCATACTCACCACAATTCACAACGTGTTCAAACAACCTTTAAGTACTATCTGACACCTATTTAAATTATCTGTATCATATGTCAGGTAAGAAGCTCTGCCACCAAAGCAAGCAAAATGCTGCACGGAGAGTGAAAATATTTTTAGGCATGCCCAGAGGTACCTATCTAATCTACCTATACTGTGAAAATGGACAAGATGCTTCATCTTGTAACATTCTCTGGAACAACTCCATGTCACAGCAAGTCACATATTTGCTTTTACCATTGTATTCTGTGACAGCTCTATTGGAAAACTTTAGTACTGAAGTTTTTTTCTCTCCTGTGCTACAGTTCTGCTAAGCCAATACTACTGCCAATGACAGCACTCCTGTGCCCCGTGAGCCCCCTGTTCCTGGCGCTCTCAGCAGCTCAAGCATTCATAAGGCCATACTATGAGCCAAATCAGACAACTTGTCTTAGGGATAGCTAACTAGGAGGTGGAGAAAGGAAAAAAAAAAAAATCTAGTTATCATTCCACCCAAACAAGTTTCCATGCCTTATTTGCTAGATGCCTCCTAGAAAGGAGAGGTCATGGCAGAATAAACTAGTATAGGGGAAGACCATCTTTTTTCTGTTTGCTAAATTGCTTGTGAAGTTGATGTTGGCACATAAAGCTAAGGACATGAAACCACAGTCCCATGAATTTTGTACACATTTGTATTTAAATGTAAAAGGTCTGCAGAAAGAAAGCCACCAAAGAATGTTTAATATTTACCTTCTCCTATGCAAGCCTACTTCAGTAAAATCAGTGGAGTTTCAATGTTTGAGAAAACATGATTTGGCTAAAATGTAAAAATTACCTCCAAATTTTAAAAGCAAAATTCATAATCTCCCTGAAATCTTACCACCTGAAAATAATCTGATATACAAAAGAAAAAGTTAAATCTAATTTTGGGGTTATACATATACCTGCCCAGATAAAGAGCCACAGAAAGAGTGGCGTATTAGGAAACAGATCAATTGGCATGCATTTTATGATACTGTAGTTGGTCAAATTGGTGACTGAGCTGTCATTTTCTACTGTTAAGATAAAACAAACAAAAAAGCCCCTAATAGCGTGAAGTTAAAAGAAAAGTTGTGTTACAATAAAGATCTTCAAAATTTTACATTTAAGTGTTAAACATACTGGCAAAAGTAATAATAAGAAAAAGTATGTTGTCCAGGTTGGAGAAATCAAGGGATCAGTTCCTCAATTAGCTTAACGTTACTGGAGCTCCAGTGAAGTCAATAGTTGAAACGTGCATTCACACAGTCTAAGTACCTGAAGTCAGCTTTTGATAAAAGCCAAGTTACTTTTTGGTGCGTCCAGCACGCGCACTACCACGTCATCACTGCAAGAACTACTTTAAATCTCTTTGAAGAACCTAGAATTGCAAGATCGAAAATATTTTTCTGACACTTCTATTGTTTTTTTTTCTCACCGCGACTTCCCTGTCACTAACCCCAGAACAGAAAGGCCCCTCACTCGGCCCTTCAGGGACGCAGCAGCCCGGCGAGCCCTCCGCCAGGGATGCCCAGGCCTGGCTGCCCTCCGGCCCGGCCCCCGCACAGCGCGAGGTGAGCACCGACGCCATTCAAACCAGCCCG